CATATTATAATACATTCATATTATAATATCACTAAAATGTGAAATACGTACGCTAATATATTCTAGTGGTAATATTTAACTAATATATACGTATGTATTACAGTCATGTGTCATTATTCAAATATTCATAATGCTTGTAACCATTATTAAGAAAGCATTAAAATAATAAACCACACTAAACAAACAGCGCTTCTGACAAAAGCATAAAGTTTACATTCCAAGCTATTTAGGACGCAAAAGGATGATTAATCAATTAAAAGGTTAAACGAATGTTGCTGTGCCAAGACATTTAAAGTTCCCCTGAGTCACTAGCATAACATCGGTAATGCTACTTAAGCTTTCCGTCAAGATCCGACACCATATGCCATAAAAGGATTCGAAACGAAAGAAAATTAATTACTATTACACTAATTTCGAAAAATTATAACTTTAAAAGTGTATCGTTTAATTAACTCCGAAAATTTCTCTCACTTCACTTTAAAAAATCCCCGTAATAAAGAGAGAAAAGTTTCGAGTTTGAAAATAAAAAAAAAACTTCTACACTCACAAGTTCTGCAATTAAAAAAATACATTCGAGCGATGCCATAAGTCCCCCAGACGTCATAATATAACTATGAATACCTCTAAAATGTGTTTTGCTCACTTGTAGGATTAAAAAAGTTCTTAATTGCAAGCTTCGTTAGCCAGATCCTTCGGCATTGGTCGCTGGAGCTTGAATCGCTCTCGGGAGAATTTTAGACGGTTTGGAATACGAATGTTTTTGCACATCGAAATCGATTTCGCGAGCCCACGTTGCACGCAAGATTCGCGCATTTCACATTATGTATTTTCTTGGTAGCGATGAATGCAGGCGTGACGCGACAATAACGGTCAATTGAGGGTTAATCAACTTTGAATAACGAGTGACGTTCGCATAGGAAAATTACAGGACAAGAAAACTCGTCGTTCTTAGAACTGTGCACAAGAGGAAAACAACAAATTTCCAATTGTCACTTCTATCTGATTTATTACATAAAGCTACGCAATCTTGTTCATTTTCCTATTGGGACCATTAATTAGGAAACATAACGAATTTTCAATTGTTATTTCTTCCTAATCTATCATTAATTATTATTATTATTGTTTCTTTCTAATCTGTTATTTAAAGCTTCTTTTTTATTTTTATATTGAGAGCATCGATTAGGAAACAAAACATATTTTGAATCATTACTTGTATTTAATTTATCCAATTTAATGAACGAATCCTACTTTCCATTAGTAATTAAAGTAACACATTATTAATTATTATTGTATTCAATTGTTACAGTATCTATGAATTTAAATTTTTAAATAAATATATACAATATATGCTGTTTTTATGCTGTATATGACGAAAAGGAAACAAAACCCACTTTCCAAGGATATTATTACTCGGATTATATGCTACAATCAGAAAGGATAGCTGAATAAAGAAGAATTGGCAACCCAATCACATACCAACGCTATCATTTCATCCAAAAAGAATAATGGCTACGCGCAGAATCTATTCACTACAGCTTCTTACATTGTACCTCGGAACGACAACCCCCAACGGAAACATAGCGCAAACGAATTGAAGAAATGCGTTTAAAATTAGCATAAAAATAATTTCCATTGCTGAATATGTATGTAGGTAAGAACTATAATAACTAAAAAAAAGTAAAAAGAATTAAATAAATTACAACATAAAATTTTAACAATAATAATTTCTCTAGAAGTCAGAGGAATTTTTATTTGCTCCGTATTTACACTGTACTTAGAGCAATTGTAGTAATACTTATGAAATAATTTTGCTCAAAAAAGGAATTCGTTATATCGTGCTCGAAAAGCTAGTTTCCAAAACTTTCACTTCTTATAAATTCGAAATAACAAAAATAATTTGAGAAATAATATAAAAATTAAATAGAAAAACGACTTTGAACACATATAGAGTTTCTTAGTTTTTGTTAAATAAAATATTCTCACAATTAATGAACCCAAATTATAAAGAGTTTTCCAAAACGAGCTTCAGAAGTTTCTTTTTCAATTACGAAATAATCCTGTGTATTTTAATACAAATATATTAAATAAATCGGATACACTCCACACTATTTGTGTTTTATTAAAAAACCAAAATCCTATAGCACCTTTTTGAAAACCCTTTATATTCCATGTTACAATATTTCAAATTGCCAAGGGAATCATCTTCGGTAGTTGCTAAAACAATAGACAAAAAGTATCATTTTAAGTTAAAAGAAGACCCATCATTACTTCATTATTATTTAAATTATAATAATACTTCTTTCGAATTAAATGGTTTCTTCAAGCTCTGAATGATATTATACAGTCCAGTTCGGTAACTGTTAAATAAAAATGTTAAAATAGTTAAAATAAATTCTTTTTATTCTAACAGTTACTGAACAGGTCTGCATTAACAATAAAACTAGTAACATTCCGAACTTGAAAAAACTTTTATTCAACAGAGTCTAAGAAGTTTTCAAAACGTGCATACGATGAACAATGTATTTTTAAATGATCAGAATTATTTTGAATATGTTGGAAAATCGTTATGGCTTCAGACAACGTAAAATGTTCGACATGACCTTGTCTTCAAGGTACAGCCTCTTCAAGTCTCGCCACCTATTCCCTTGCTCTCAAAGTTAATGTTCAAAATAATCACCTGATAGCTTCAACACGATTCACTGTAAATTCTCCAACACGTTAAAAGATACTGTCATGCGTTCGGTAGTCAAGTTTCGTCAATACATTTGTATATTTCAAGGTCAAGAAATATGCAAACCCCAAACCATTCTACAAATCTTTAGTAGCAATTCTAATGTAATACTCCATCGATTTCATGAATACGAACAAGATTCGGATATTATTGAAACGCATATACATATGTATGTTTCTATAGAAATTTTTATCTGTGTTTTTCGACCTTGAATCTGTCAACGCAGCACTTTTCATGCAGAGTATCTACGTATAAGCTCGGACATACGCAGGGTGTCAATTCTACAACAAATTTTCAACAAAAAATTACTCTCAGACATTTTGTTTGTGTCGCCTTATTTGGGAGTATTTTCACTTTTAATTTTTGTTCTGTGTTTTCGACTTGACACTCTTTGAACGGCCATAACTCTAACAAATTACAGTGCAAACTTAAAAGTAACTGTACCATTCGAAAGAGCGTTAAATTTCCCATCTCCCTGATGCCGAACCAAAATTTATTACATAGATTTAACAAGTGAAAAATTAGGTCAAACTTTACATTGTAACAATTTTTAAAAAATTGACTTTTTCTGTATTCGTTTTTCGGTTTCAAAGACATAGTTGTTTGGCAGGCACTCTTCAGGAAAAACTTCCCAAAAACTTCAAAATAAATTGTACGGTGGTATTTTAGAGAGAAAATGACGTTTGAATGCAGAAAAGCGTGGAGTTTTAGGTGAAAATCTATATTTTTCAACAAATATTGACTTCTCACTTTAAAATTAACTTGACATAGGGTTCGATGTATTTTTTAGTGACACTCCCGAGCCTTCCGAATTTGGAGAAAAACTGATTTTTTGACACCTCAAGCCCCTCCCAGCCGAGTGTAGAACCTGAGTGCGAGGTGAGTAATAATTGTTTTTAAACATGTATCCATAGAATTTTCGTTTTTAAAAACTATTTAATCAAAATCAACCTCGGTGTACCGATAAATGATATGGAGATTGGAACACGATCGATTTCATAAATCAAAAAATCGATGTTTTCAGCGCAGGAGAACCGATAAATTTTGATTTAGGAGGCGGACATTTTGAATGCTTTTCTGCATTTAAACGTCATTTTCGCCCGAAAATACCACCGTACAATTTTTTTTGACTATACCATTCAAAAGCTGAGACTTCGAGGAAGTTTTTCCCGAAGAGTGCCCGCCAAACAACTATGTCTTTGAAACCGAAAAACGAATACAGAAAAAGTCAATTTTTTAAAAATTGTCACAATGTAAAGTTTGACCTAATTTTTCACTTGTTAAATCCATGTAATAAATTTTGGTTCGGCATCAGGGAGGTGGGAAATTTAACGCTCTTTCGAATGGTGCACTGATTTTTAAGTTTGCACTGTAATTTAGTGGAGTTATGGCCGTTTAAAGAATGTCAAGTCGAAATCACAGAACAAAAATTAAAAGTGAAAATACTCCAGAATAAGGCAACACAAAGCAAATGTCTGAGAGTAATTTTTTGTTGGAAATTTGATGTAGAATTGACACCCTGCCTATGTCCGGACTTATACGTGGACACCCTGTATATTAAAATCACCGCATTCGTAAAATCTGTTAAGATTTACATTTCTTTGAAATTTGAAAATAAATATTTTGTTGTTATAAGTAATACTTTATTTTTATTGAGAAGAAGATGAGGTTCCACGTGCACCAACTTAATCATTTTCGCAAAGTATAGAATTCTTGAATTAAATATTTCCCTTAATCCATAAATTGCTTTAAGATTAATTGAAGCTATATTAAATCACGGAAGCTAAACGACTTTTCCTTGTTAACTACAATTAAAAAGAGTAAAACCATGTCTGAGAAATATAAAATGAAATTTTTCCTTAATACGCAGGAGCAACACGCAAATTCAAAGGACCCTGTCACATATACCTACAATGCACAAGAAGATGTGGTTCTGAAAGTCTTGAGTAAATTACATATACTGCTATCTCTACATGTTCATATAAATCCTTGTTAAAGTGTTTGAAATGAAGTATATTGTTCGCACATTTCACCAATCCGACGAATCGCACAATTCACGAATCCTCGAGATCCTTAGATGGTACGAACGTCACAAACTATGTAGTTGCACGGTAGATAGTATCTATTAGATGCAGCTTCGAGATATCTTAACGCATAAATATGGCTTATTATCAATTGCGTCACACAAATTTCTTATACACTACGAAATTTCCAACACGGAGAAATTACTCCCCCCCCCCCCCCCAAAAAAAAGAAATTCGTTACTCACCGCCGTTCTTGGCGTCCTCCTTCGCTTCATCCCCTACCGGCTGAACACTCTCCTTGCTCGTATTGCATCCCATTTTCACTCTTACTCCTCGTCCTTTTCTATATCCCTTCTATCCTCCAATTGCAAACGCCCACCGTTAGTCGCGACACTAGCCGTATAATTCGCGATTACGATCGACTAAGTGCTTTCCTCGTTAACATCTAGTCGTCGAATAAAAGGCCGAATATGGTGAATTCTAAGCACTAGAAAAAATACCAAGTATCCCGACGATGGCGAAACTCGTTGATTGGAAAAATCACAGTAGAGCGTGTCCGTCGTTTCCGAAAACTCGGTTTTCCTCTTGGCCTGGAGGTGAACGACACGGCGTGGTACCGGCTTAACGTAGCGGCCCGTCAGGACGAAAATACAAATGACTTTGTGGGGGTTGGTCGAACTGGACGTATCGTGAACTGGATCTGTTTAACCAGTCTCTTCCCGTAACGAATTATTGGCCGGTTAGAAAAATATGTATTAAAATAGTATTCGAAAGCTACTACCGGCGAACGCTAAATATACTAACCTACAGTAATACCACGAACACAAGTCCCGTCGACGTCGCGAGACGTACTGACACTGCCGACGACCCTGCCCTTGCGTCGCGACTACGCGAGTCGATATATATTCCTTTACGATCTCTGTGTGCGTGCACGTATACAGGCTGTGCTAAAATCGACGGTCTAAATTTTGAGTGGATTTATATAGTGATCGTCAAAATTTGCAGAAAAATATTAGCGAACGTGAGTGGAAAAATAAACGGTGTAAGAATTTGCGAGGAAAAATGTTTTATAGTAGCATGTGCTTCGAGTGTTTTATAGTTATTTCGACGCATCGATCGACACGTTTTCTCGTTAAAATTCGCACATGTTCGAGAATTCTGGGGTGTTATTTGTCAAAGAGATGAACTGATGTAAGAATCCAAAGATGATACCTGAAGTAACAATCTGATGATTAGACAGGTATTTATTTACTCACCCATAAAGAACTAGTGAAGTAAAAATAAAAACCGCTAGATAGGATTGATTCGCGCGTGTGCGTGTGTCGTAGTGTTTTTCCAATCAGCGAGTTCCACCACCGTCGGAATACTTGGTATTTTTCTAGTGCATAAAATTGGACGAATTCTTATCTAGCTACAAACTTTAAGTGACAAAAAATAAATAACCATTTGTTCGATACATGTGCTTAAAATAAATATTAGCATTTGGAAAATAGAATGAAATATTTCACGGTGAAGAAATTAAATATGCTTCGAGTGTTTTATGGTAATTTCGATGCAATAATGGACATGTTTTCTCGTTAAAATTCGGACATGTGTAAGTAGACAAGTATCTTATGATTTTCATTTATCGGCAAGAGAAACTGAAACAATAATATTGACCATAGAGGACGCTTGAGATAACAGTCTTACGATTAAGTAAGTGTTTACATATTGCGAGTGTTTGCAATTTCGTCTCTCAGAAGGAACTCGCGAAATAGGTATAAAAACTGGGAAAATCCTTGTCTAGGAACAAATTTCGAATAACAACTGAAAGATAAATCCTTACCTTTCTAAAAAAATTTAAATCTGTATTACAAAATCTAACACACTGTACAATTCACTGTTTGTTTATATATACATATGTATAACTGTACACCAAAGTGGTCGCTAATGACCCTGATGTTAATGCGATCTTTATACAATAAATAATTACAACAAAAAAGTGAATGATAAATAACCATTTATCCTATACACGTAAAATAAATGTAAGTATTTGAAATATCGAATGAAACATTTCGTAGCGAAGCGATAAGAATTTACCTGTTCAATGAAATGAACGTCGTGAATAAATTACTAAACGTTGGTTTTATTGATTAGCAATTATTCGAATAAAAGATTGCCTATCTGCGATGGGTACATTATGTAACGCGAAAACAGTTTCTTTGCTTCAATTTAAAACAATGTTTATATCTAAGCAGACGGAATAAAGACTTACGGTAACAGTTTACAAAATCTATTTTTGAAAAAGGATATGGCTCCAGGACTGACACCAAAACTTTTGGTATCCCGCACAACTTGCAATTTCGGAGACTCTTTTCTTAAAAAATACTTTACTTGCCTGTAAATTGGGAAAGTTGTTGAGAATTTTATATTTTTCTGTACTTTATTAGTTAATATAGAAAGTTTTGTTTGGGTATAATAATCGTGTTTTTTTTATTAATTTATGAATTTTTTCTTTCTTATTGAATTATTCATACAGAGCTGGTTCTGTATACAGATATAAATTCCAGATACCAGGAAATAACTTTAATTGTATATGATATTCAGCAAAACCACTAAATAGACATTTTAAAAAATTATAAATATATAATTATATATAATTATAATTATATTTCATTGACGAAATTGAGCACATTAGAGATGAATTTAATTTTATTCGAACAAGAGCTAATAGATAATACCAATAAATAGCGATTTATTCGATTGAGTAATTAAATTTTTATTTGTTCATTGTAAAATGTTTGATTCAATGATTCAATCATTTTTATTCAGCAACCGAAATTTTTATTTAAGTAAACATTTTGCCTACCTCTACTTTGCATGCCTTGTAATTCGAAAACTACTGAATTCAAAATTAATGTTTACAAAGGGCCAGAAAATAAAGGAATGAACTTGGGAAATCTCTTTCGTTTCTTACGTCCTGAATAATGAATAAAAGATTTTTAAAAAACCACCCATGATTCGTTATTTAATCGGTAAAAATGACAATAAATTAAAATCAAATTTCATTTTAAACAAATAAAGGCTTCTCCGAATAACGGTTTGTAGAATAAACGTCACGAATGAATTACTGTTCGGTCCTTTTATTCGCCATCTGTTATTTGAATAAAATATTGCCCATCTTTAAAGTAGGATACCCCATTTCTTGAACGGTATAATGGAGTAAACATTTCGAATAAATTGATGAACGGTACTTTTATTCACCATCTATTATTCAAATAAAATTTTGTCCATCTTTAGAGTAGGATACACTCCTCCTTGAACCTCTCTCCTAGCTAGGACGATTCTTTCACTGCAACTCGGAAACTCGTAACTTCTAAACCCACGTTCATTATTTTGACAATTCTAATTCCCAAAATTTGGACCATCAGTTTTAACGCACGCTGTATATACATCTGCGTGCGCGCGGCCAATAACAGTGAGCATATTCACGTTGGATTGTGTACAAACTTGGTTTAAATAATACGAAACCGACTGAAAGCCATGAGTACCTTCTCTGCAAATTATCGAATAAGTCAATTTCACCCATTCGTTACGGGCATTACCATCTAACTAGACACCACTCCCAACACTCGAATACCATTCGAGAATAGTTTTTGCGAGATTCGATCGATTTCGTAAATGGGATACTCCGATGGTCGCTAGACTGTTGGCAGACAGGCGCCAACACTTGCATTCTTCTCGTTTTCTGGAACGAATATCGATTTCGACGTTTTGATAATCGCTCGCGATTCAGTGTCGTTGATGATTCATATTTCACAGACGGCAAGTTGCATTTGTCTGCGTTGCAGGTTCGCGTGACTTGTATTAAGAATCGTACCGACAAATAGCCGACGGTATTTCCGATGCTTCTTTGGTATGCGCGACTTTATACGGGAGAATAAACAGAATAAAGAACAATTGATAACATATTTAAAAGTGCATTTATTTAGTATGGATAATCAAAATTGTATTTAACATTGTCTAATACAAGGTTGTAGTCAACGATAAAAGTATATCGTTAATCATTTCACCATGAGTACAACCTGTAGAGAATAGAGAACATGGACATTTCACATGTCGGAAGTACTCCATTTGTAAGCTTCTTCCTGGCGAGCTACCATCGCGTTTTGTGTTTCGAACCATCGTTTTTCATATCCATTACTTCTGTCGACCCCATCCCACCGATGACCGGGTTTAATACCAAACCGATTTGGCATAAACGATCCTTCGTATTTTGGTCCATCTTAAAATTTATATAATTGCATATTATCGAAGAATAAATATAATTTGTAGAAAAAATATAAATTTATTATGTCTTTCCTTATTGCTGTGTCACGATTGACTGCTGTTATTTAGACAATCGCGATCGCATTACTTACGATCTATGCCTACTCGGATCGTAATAAATTAAACAACTACAGTGACAACCATTCTGACTTACTGATCGGTAAATTTCGTAAGTGAAGGACACGTCTCAGTTCGAACATTTTTATTCTCTGCGGATCCATCGTAAACTCTCACTAATCACAACTAATCATAGGCGTAATAAAGAACGTTTTTCTATCAACGTATTCGATTCGCGTACGCGTAAACCTAATCAGAGGGGCAAATCGAATTTTTATCCCACTTTTGAAAATTTGTGGGAAAAATATAAATTTATTGTGTCCTTTTTTATTGCTGTGTCACGACCGATAGCTGTTATTTAAACAATCGCGATCGCATTACATACGGCGCATGCCTACTTAAATCGCAATAAAATAAACAACTACAAATTATAACTGTGTTGTGTATTTATCAGTAAAAGCGTTTGGAAAAACAAGAATACTCCGACTACGTTAAGTTGCCGAGTGTCGACAAATTTGAGGGGACCGGAGCAAAGGAACTAGGCCGCTCGCTTCATCCAATACATATTAAGTAAGGTATCACAAAATCGGACATGGGAAACTTAAGTAGTTGTTCGATCGGTGTAATATTTCACTGTTACGCCAATCCATTCCAATTGTCATTTGGTCTCATCACTCTTATGTTTCTCTTTGACTTTCTTTGTCTCGCGATAAACTTTTGATGTGAGTTGCGCGGCCAATAACAAAAATACGCGTATTTTGAAACGAAGCGACGAATCTGATTCGACGGCAACTTAACGTGGTCGGTCTGTACTTTGCTATGACAAACATCATTCTACTACGAGATGTCGTCCTTCGTTACGCATGGTCTTTTAATTTATTAACTATTTTTAAAGATATGTAAAAAAATGGGGAGTTGAACGTTGAGTTTTTAAATTAATGCTCAATTGATAATTAGAATAAAATACTACTTCAAAAAATCCGACAATTATATTTTTCCAAAACAATAATAATAAAATTTAAAAACACGTATATAATTTACCTGGTTTTCTCTTTCCTTCTTTAATCTGCTTTTGCTTGATGTATTCCAGCATGGGATCACCTTCTCTTTCTTGTTCTCTAAGTGTCCTATCTAAGTCGGCATCATCTGCATATCTTGCTAATGGTTTACTCATTTCATATAGATCGTCTTTCAATTTTTCCTCGCGATCCTCTACTTGTTTTAACCTGATTTAATAAATACACTTTTAGAAACTTTTTTTACACTTTTAACTATATGAGAATTTTGTTTTCCAGATTTATCTCCAAGTTACTCACCCTTTACCCCATTTAGCATATTTTTCGTCCAATTCTGCTTGCCGTTTTTGTTTTTCACGTTTCTCGGCTGCTTCTGCTTCTAAATTACGTTTTCTACCAGTTTTAGTATCTCGTACAATCGTAGCCTGACCAATTCCGGTAACTTCTTTGCTGAG